GCCCACGTTACAAAAAAGTTTTAAGAATCCGGTGGTTGGAGAAAAATGGCGGATTAGGAGTGACGTCCCGGCTCTCTGCTCCCAGAGTAGGAGGTGAAGAACGCGGACAACCGCCTGCGAAGGAATCGCTCTCCCACAGGATCAGCTTCGTGAATCTGCTGAGAAGCAGCGAGGGACAAGCAGCGCTGGGGAAAAAAAGGTGAATCTGAGACGTAAAGTCCGGAGAGTGCGAGATATACAATAGGGAATAGCGTCGGCCAGCTGGGGCAGTGGGGTCTGACCCACAGGAGGATGACTCTTCCCCCACCGACCTCCGCACCCACGCAGGCAGGGAAGCACCTGACGTCAGTGCGAGGTGGTGGCACGGCCAGACAGGCTGTGTGGAGTAGAGACAGGAGCGGGAAACATTTTGAACTCTCCTGTGCGCTGTGCTGGGTCTGCTTTGGGCGGGGGAGGGACTGGTCCGAGCAGACACTTCCCAGTTTGGACAATTCCCGGTTCCGCAGGAGAGAGCTTGGAGACAGGCTTCTCGCTTGAGGAGGCCGCCAGGACCAGATCAAGGGAGGTGAACACCATAAAGGAGGCTCTGCCCTCGGAAATTACCTAAGATTTGGCCGGCGCACGGTGGGCTGGAGTAGAGATCCCTCCTACTGATCAGTCGCTAGTCAGTGTGTTAGGGAAGCAATGGGCTCAGCAGGCGGCTCTTAGAGACAGCGGTGACAAACCCAGTGCCTGACACCTGCCCGTGTAGTCGCCTCCAGCGCTGACTCTCAGTGGGTGGGCAGCCACCAATTTGGGAGTCCATAGCCTAAAATCCCCGGAGCCTGTTGCCCAGGCAACGGTCTCAGGCATCACCCCTGCCCCTGCCGGGCAGAGCTGGTCCCACCCTTGGAGGAGGGCAGTAACAAGAGAAGCCGCTTTCTCTCCCAACCCTGCCCACGGTCTTTTCGTGCAGGCGGCTCAAGCCCCGCCTTTGAAGGGGCGGAAAAGGGAGAGAGGTCACTTTCCTGGCTGAGTCGCCAGGTAGGCTCAGGCGGCCCGTCCCACCCAGCCGCCTGCGCTTTGTGCCAAAAGGACAAACCCCGCCTTGCAACGGCGGAGTAGCAAAGGAGGCCGCTTTTTGAGCCCTGACCTGAGAGGACATAACCACCCCCACTTCCATGCGACTTGCCCCCCACCCCCGCCCTGCGCGCGCTTTGCGCCAAAGGGACTGACTCCGCCCCTGGGCGGAGTAGTGAAAGAGGCTGCTTTTGAGCCAAAACTGCGACTGCTACCAGCCCTTTGTTTTGTCTCCGCAGCAGGACTGCTTTACACCAAAGAGACAAATCACTCCCCTAAAAGTGTGTAGTAGCAAAGGAGGCCGCTTTTTGAGCTGAGACCTGTGGTCACCTCTTTGCTGTGACTTGGTAGCCGGTGCCATCTGCCAAAGGGATAGACTCCACACCGAGAAGGGCGGAGTATTGAAGGAGGCTGCTTTCCCAGCTGGGATCCGTGGCCGCCTCTTGCGCCTCTTGTCAAAGGAACAGTCCCTACCCCTGAAAGTGCAAAGTGGTGAGGGAAGCCGCTTTCCGGGCTGAGACTCGCCAGGGTTGCGGAAGGCCCTTGGCTGCGAACAGGCCACTGGTATTCCATACTGAGGGGACTGACCCCACCTCTGCAGGGGCAGAGTAGCGAGGCAGGATGCTTTCTGGTCTGGGTTCCTCAGTGGCCTTGGGCAGGGCTTCTCCAGCAGCCCTGAGGTGTGTACTTCCTACCAACTACACAAACCCCGCCCTTGGAGGGGCAGAGTAATGAGGGTAGCCACTTCCTGGGCTGAGACACCTGGTAGCCCCAGGAAGGGCCCTCCTCCCAGTCCGGAGGGATATCGTCACTTCTGGCAGGGAAAACCTCACCCTCGGAGAAGGGGAGAAACGAGAGAAGACATTTTCAGGGCTGGGTCTTGTGGCAGTCTCAGCCAACGCCCCTCCCCCACCCCACCAGGACAGACTCAGCCCTTGAAGGAAGGGAGAAAGGAGAAAAGTTGCTTTCCCTGTATGACTAGCTTGAATCTGTGGGACCTTGAATCTAAGCAAAAGGGGACAGTTTTCTGACTTGGTTTCAGCTGATTGGTTTTGATCATCTGATAAGACCATACCACAAGGCCTTGCCCTTGGTGCCCAGGCTGTTGCCAACTTAGGGGATTGTGGTCTGGGAAGGAAAATCTCGACCAGAGTCCTCAGCAATTGCACCAATTGACACGCCCCATCAGGAGCTGCTCCGCAAGAGTGGTGAAAGAGCCCTGAGTAACATATTAGCAGCTCTCTCCTAGCAGCAGATCAAGCAACCTCTGAAGTATACACTCTTAGGCTTGCCAATACCGGTTGTTCTTCTCACCCCACCTAAAGTGGTAACAGGGCTCAACTATCCCTTGGGAGTGGCATGACATTCCCCAAAGTCTGAGGCACCTGTAATGTCCCATTTGGGGGTTTAGAGCTCAATACAAAAGTATTGGAATACCTTGATAAGTGACTCCTCCACATAAAATACAAGCAACAAAAGAGAGAGTAACCTCATAGCCCAACACAGTGCTTTCCACCTCAATCTTGTGATTGATAGCAGAGTCTCTCACACACACAAGAGTGATCCAACTCCTGGGAGTCTAAGGAAGGAATCGAAACACACTAATCTCCATAAGCAGAAGGTGAAGACAACAGGCTAGAGGTAACCAAACAGGCTAAAACTCCTCTAAGAAAATACAGGACCAGAGCACATCTCCCCAGCTCTGCCAAGGAATGTCCCTCTGGAGTCCCAGAATTAAGTCCATAAACCAATCCCAACACCTCCAGTCCTTGAAAAAGTAGCCTGATGAGAAAGAATCAGTGAAAGAACACTGGAAACATGAAGGATCAGAGAGAAA